AAAGGGCGGAAATTTTATGAAAATAGCGCTATCTGTCGCCTGGCGTCAGTGCTGCGTGCTTAGCGTCATCTAGCGTCATCTAGCGTCATCTAGCGTCATCTAGCGTCATATAAGCATATAGCGTCATATAGCGCTAGATAGCGCTAGATAGCGCTAGATAACGCTAGATAGCGACATTCGAAAGGTGCCGTGCACTTAGTACTCCAGTAGCAGGGAGGTGTTGAGTGTGCACTTCGCTGCATAGAGTTTTTTGCTACTGAATCGGGTTAAATAGGCCATTGGTAACTCAAATCACCGAGGGGGGAATTTTGTGTCGCTAGTCCCAACCCTGTGGAGCCACGCCCATATTTCATATAAGACGCGTATGTGGAAAATTCGTATCTCAGCTTCTGAAGGGCTTAGAGACTTAAACTTGAGCTTAAAATGACCGCAATATGCATATTTATATTAGCACTATGAAGGTACTGAAGCCTTTAGGGACTCAGTTTTTGAGAAAAATGAAAAAAACTAATTTTCACCGAGGCGCGATGGCAATGACAGGCTTCAAGCTACTAAAATTCAAAAAGTTGAGTGTATAATATTGTGAAAAGTAAAAATGTGCTGGCTTAATCTGACAGAAGAGTTACAATATAAACAAAAGCTTACAAATGATCAAAATAACTGATTTGTACTGACAAACAATTCGTCTTATATAAACTTTTACAATTACCAAACAATGTCTACTCATGTAACTAAAAATAAATTAAATCTCTGCTAATTCGCATTATTGATCGGATTTTTGCACATTTCACGACATTTGCAATAGTGAGAGCATGCATATTGTTTCTGTCTGCATGGGCAGGTGATCCTGACACAGGATTTACATTTACATGGTTCAGGTATATCAAGGGGTCTTTGTGGAGGCACAAACCAAGTGGGAGATAAGTTGCTGTCGTATCCATATTCCGTAACATCAAGGATCTGAGATGCATCCCCTGTTGCAGCTTCGAGCCACAACCTCGCTTGGAAATATGCCCTTCTAATATGCTGCCTTATTTCATTAGATGAGCATGGAAGATCCACAAATCTTACGTTTCTTACTTGCTGCCGCATCCTTAGTCTAAGTTCATCAAAAGTTGCACAGTTCACGAAGGCCTTGCTAGCTACAACTTTCACCAAAAATTGTTCTGCTTTTTCGAGCATATCCTCGTTAAGCACATCCAATCCAAAATCTTCGATAAAATGACTGAACTGCTTTAAAGCTTTTAACAAAGCCAACTTTGTGCCAACTTTTGAAACAGTGTCACAACCTGTTAATGCGTGAGCTGCTGGCAGGCTTCTCACTAGACTAGACTCGACCTTGCCCAGTAGCAAGTGTAGAGGAAGCAATTCTTTTTGGCGTATTGTCTTTACTTTAAAATCACCCTTCCTGAGCAAGTAAAGATTAAGACCATGCCATGCACTTTGGAGATAGTAAAGAAGGTTTACGAAAATGTCTGTGTCAGGTGACACAACAGAGACACAGCAACTTTCTGTTGATAAAGCATGAATCTTACTGATCGAAAACATAATACGATCATCAGCCTCCTCATGAGATGCCCTAAATTCTATCGCTTCAGTTATTAAACCATCTGAAATCACTGTGCATTTATCTGGGTCCGATTTTAAGCCTCCTGCCAAATAAAGTGGCTTTGCTGATTTGTAGTGAGAAGAACAATATTTTACAAAAAAGTTCTGATAACTGATTTTGTTAGACTGTCTGTCGAAGAAATCATTCAAAGGAGATGGCAAGGACTGTTCCTCAGACACCACCTCACAAACCGCACCTAGATTCAAATTGCCGTCTTTGGTTGCTCTAGTTGCTCGTGTTGCTCCTTTGATGGACATATCTTTGTAATTTTCTAGAATGAGATGTATCTGCTCACTTTGCTGCCCATATGAAATCACGTTATTCAGAATTTTCTCACAGAACGAGCCGAAGGTTTTGACATCTGTTAACTTGACTGATGTCCATTTCCTGATAATCGCCATAAAATCAATTACAACTGCTGTCGTTTTTACATGAGGTATCTGGTTTGTGTTGTTAATCACAATCGATTCCTTGTCAAGTAATTGCAGCAATTGTTTAGAAAGATCTGATTTGGGGGCTTTCTTTTGCTTCAGGGAATCTTTCTCTAGAAGATAAACTGGACGTGAAGTTAAAGGATACATGATCACTTCCTCCAAACCCCATCCCCTGGACGCTGCATACTCGATAAAGTTTACTGCAGATGTATTTAGTTGGTCGTCTGTGGGCACCTTTACCTTCTTCTGTTTGGCCATTACAGTGGATTCAATGGACATATAAGGAGACTGATATTTAAAGCTTATGGAGGCGTGTAAGCTCTTGCTTTTGTCAGTTAAACGTTCTTGGACAAATTCGGCATAGTTTGCTTGTCCAAATTCGACACAGTTCAACAGGTACTCTGTGTTTTCAACGACTTCACGACTTGTTAGATTGATCAGCTTAGCAGAGCTATCAACTTCAAACGGATTGCCTACTGTTTTAATGTAGTTGACCAGTTTTTCTGCTCGAGACTTGCCCTTCCCTGCAGATTTAAGATTGAACTCGTGGTGAAGATGGTTCAGCTCTCCTTGGTGTTCACCAATATCTGCTGTTTCTTTTACGAAAGAGACAAACAAATCTTTGTGGTGCTTTATGATGTTCCACAGAGCCACTGCTTCTTTCTGGCGAGTTGACCCAATAATACCACCTGCTGCCTTAGCCGTGAAGTTGTATGCCTTTTCCAGGGCCTGGTCAAATCCTATTGCACTTCCTTTGCGCTCTGATAAGTAACAGACAAAGTTCCCATCTTTGAAGTGCTTGTGTAGGGCAGGGAACTTTCTCTGTACATCCAAACAATCTTGATAAAAGAGCGCTCCATATCTACTGTAATTGGGCTTCCCTGTGCCAAAGAAGATTCCTAAACTCCTTTCCACTGCAGAAAGAAACAGTTCCCAGTTTCCAGTTCGGACGGATACCTCAAAGTCTCTCGCACACGGGAACATGTCTCTCAGAAAAATCTCCCAGTAGAGAAAGTTTTCGTTTCCGTGATTAGATCCTTTGAACTCAAGAAACGCTTTGTGTAACCTGTCTAATGAAACCTTGTAACTCTCCCAACAGCTCTCAAAGTCGTTTCCGTCAGAGTTATCATAGACTTTTGTTAATACTTGTTCAATGTCAAATTCTATGCCATCAAGATCGATTTCCTCCTTGCATAGAATGAATTCATCGCTTTCGAGAAAAGCTTCATATTGTAGACGTAATATAGACTCAGCAATCATATTAATGCCGTCTTTTGCTTTCATATAATCACCTCCTTTCAGAACACTTGACAGTGCGACATCAGCTGCAAAGACTCCGGACTTTTTCAGGGCTTCTCCAATTCCTGAGGGATTTAGCCACTTTCCGATTGCCCCCATGATTATCTTACTCCAATGGAACGGGCCAAGACCTAAAAATATTGACCCGAACAATTCCGGTTTCAATAGTTGTATGTCTTTAGCCAGACAGTACACCCCTTCATCACACCATAGTGCTCCAGAACTTTCGCCTCTCTGATGCAGCACATCTTTGAAGTTCATCATAGAAGTGTAGATGCTGTCCATCAAGGTGGCAGGATACGGCAGTATCGGGATAAATGATCTCGCTGTCATCATCCTAACTTCCCTAGATGTTAATTTACTGAGCAAAGCAGTAAAATTGGGAATATCGTTTGCACATTTGAGTCTGGACACAAACCATGCAAAGAAATCGTCGTTCACTTCAGTCAAAATTGAGTTCTTGTGTATGTGATGAGTGATCGGAGAGAACTCCTCGTTTATTTCTCCTGAATTTTTAGCAAGCTGCGACGTCATTAGCTGCTGGCAAGGTAATGTATGCTGTAGACTCCGCTTTCTGTCCACAGCGTATTTGGTCGTGTCACGCTTACTCATAGTCCTAGGTTCGATGTCATCTTCTTTTCCGTTCTGCCATATGACAAGAACGGTGTCGTTGCTGACATCTCCCCCACTATCAGTTCTTTCCTTGTGATTGAAATTATCCACAGCTCCTTGGATCGGAATCCCAGGTTTAATAGAATTATTCACTGGGCATCGATCCTTTCCCGCAGTATCGATATCTGTCTGAGCCATTTCAATGTCGTCTCTTTTCATTGAATCGTAGCCTATTCCAAAGCCGAACCTGTTGATGATGTCAATAAGTTCTCGTGACTTTGTCAGACAGTGAACAGCTTGTGTTATGCCACAATGCATCGGTGTCTTAAGACCAGAGATCCAACAAGAAAAGAACTGAAATGATGCATCAAATTTCAGAAACCACGAATCCCCCTGCACAACTTTTCTGCCCGAGAACAGTTTCGAGATAAACTTCAACCATTGAGGCGGCCTTTCATCTTTGAATCGCTCTAGAGATAGAGCCAAATCACTGGGCAAGCACAGACTGTCCTCCAATTCAAACTTATATGAACTGATTTCAGCTGACAAGATTTTTGCACATTCCGTAATTGCATCACGATCTCTAAGGTTATGTTCAATAATTCCAGATACTGGAACTGATGACTTGAACACTATCTGGGTCACAGATCTGTCTTTAGGGTAAGAAAATGATATATCCTCTCCGAATAATTTGATGAGATTGAATTTTGTCGCTCGATTATTGAAATTAAGATCTAAATCATTGTTTATACACTCTGTGATATCGGTCAGCTTGTAAGCTTGTGTTTGAAAATCAAGCTTTTCGAATACCTCCTTCAATCCGTCTTCGTGAATATTCTCTTCACTTTCTCTATGAAAATTGTTCATAAGTTTTTCAACCTGTCTCTCATAAGAACGTAGGTATGAGCTCATGCATGCATTGTGATAGTAAATGTCAGCTGCAAAGATGTCACCTACGGATTGGCAGTAGATGTATTGCCTGCGGAGATCATCTTCGTTGAAAGCCATTGCACTCAGAAATTTTGAAGCCCGTGAGGTTCCCATTTTCATCTCAGAGACTCTGAATAGCTGTGAGGTTTGATTTGGCCATGATCCTGCTTGGTGCTTTTGACAGATGGAGCATTTTGTAGCTTTAGATTTCTTACTCGGTTGGTCAGGTATCTCTCCGCTTGCTGATCTAGACCTGGTGCTTTCACGTTTTCTTTTTGTAGTTTCACTGGACGTTCCTTGTGCTTCTTGAGATAGATCTTTTAATGTTGATTTGGGTTTAAATTCTTTGAATTTTCTCATATAATTTTTAAAGCACTGTTTTGGACTTTTCATTTTATTGGACTTAGACTGGTTGTGGAAGCGAAAAGTGTCAGGACATTTAGCTATGTTGTCTAGAACTTCACTATCTCCCATTTTAATGGCAGCTTCGCACACCATCTTTCGTTTATCGTCATCTCCTGTAGAATTAAGCTTCGTCACGTTTTAAAACAGTAAAGCTCGAAATGACTATGTTAGAAATAAATCTATCAATTAAAAGTGATTCAAATTGTATTTAACTAAAATGTTACTAGCTTTATTATAGTTTTATTTTACCTTTTAAATCACGCTCTGGATATTTTTCTTCTTTTTTGCATAAAACACATACTCGGTTCGCATTCGTGTTTTTTGCAAGTTTTGCTCCGTCTTGTAAGAGACTAATTCCTTTGATCTTGGATTCAGGACCCGTTTTATTACTCTAAAAATAATGACATTGTAGGATACATTTCTCGTTACAAAATACAAAATCCGAGTCTACTTGAAGCTTCATAACAATTAAATTAATGTTAGTATACAAAATATTGTTAACCTGCACAACTGATATACTAATTAATGAAAAATTAATTAATGAAAAATGTTTTAACCTACATTTATTCCTGATGGTCCTGGAATTTCATCGTCAATAGGAGGTGGTGAAGACACTCTGGGAACAGCATCTTCTGATATACTAATCTCTAGGTCCTAAATTTATTAGACCCATCATCACGAAGTAATTTAATACAAAAATATCATATTCACGAAAGAGCTATTCATAGTACAATACTGAACTTTTTAATATTTAAGAAAATTCGAAATAGTTGAGTCGACCATCAAACTTACACCATCTAAAGCATTGATTGAAACACGATGATATGTCACCCTCCTAGCACTCTGCCTTCTCAAAAGCCACTGTTTGCGTGACCACAATATCAACACAAAACAACCTGAAAGTCGATGCTCTTAGCTCTTCGATATTGCTTTATTATACAAACTGCGTAGATAGCAATAACTTATCAATAAATACACTGATGATTATAGGAACTAACTTCAAGCAACAATATAATCGCTAAAGTAACGTCTGAAACTTACCAAGTATCACACAAAGACCCCAAAGAGTAACAACTGGAATGACAACAAACCAAGCATTCATATTCACGACAAGGTTTCACTGCTGAACCAAGAAGTAGGCGAAATTGGTACACGTTTCAAAATAACTGTCGAGTACTGTTGAGAATTCCAGAGGCAGGGTATCCAGTTACGTAGGTTAATCTCAAAGGTTGTGAAAGATAACTCAAAAATTGTAATTTAGTAGTAAGCACGGTACAATCAAGAAACAATGTTTCACAGTGGAATATAATACGACAGCAACAAAGTAGGTATTTCTACTTTGTATTACAAAAGCGCTAATTATACCTGTTTCAAAAGCATCCTGTCTGGAAGTTCCCTGACTGCCGTGTGAATCTTTGGATCTATTTTTTGATCTATTTTTATATTGATATGATTTGTATATACCTATATATTCATCGCATAATTTCCATGTACGCCTGAACAAACCTGGCACCATCAAATCTTACATGGAAACCCCAGAACTATTTAAAATATAAATAAATATTTAACTTTCACAATATTATATACTCAACTTCGTGAATTTAGTAGTACTTAAAGCCTGGCATTGCCATCGCGCCTTGGTCAAAATTAGTTTTTTTCATTTTTCTCAAAAACTAAGTCCCTAAAGGCTTTGATACCTTCATAGTGCTAATATAAATATGCATATTGCAGTCATTTTAAGCCCAAATATAAGTCTCTAAGCCCTTCAGAGGCTGAGATACGAATTTTCCACATACGCGTCTTATATGAAATATGGGCGTGGCTCCACAGGGTTGGGACTAGCGACACAAAATTCCCCCCTCGGTGATTTGAGTTACCAATGGCCTATTTAACCCGATTCAGTAGCAAAAAACTCTATGCAGCAAAGTGCACACTCAACACCTCCCTGCTACTGGAGTATAGCGACAATGTCGCTAATTGGCGTCATCTAGCGTCATCTAGCGTCATCTAGCGTCATCTATCATCATCTGGCGATATTTCACGCTAGATGACGCTAGATGACGCTAGATGACGTCATATGTCGAATTTCAACTATCAGTAAAGGTCCGGAATGTGGAGTGAATTAACAAGAATCCCTGAATACAAAGGATAATTTTCTGAAAAAGTAATATCATAGTGAAATTTACAAACCATTATAAAATCGATTTATGTAATATGTAAATAACATTGTGACAACAGCCAATTTGCTTTATCTTTGCGATCTAAATGGACTCACGTAAGAAAATTCTCCAGGCAGGCCAGGTTGACCATCATATCCGGGAACTCCAGGCTCTCCTCTGCCTCCACGTCGTCCAGGCATTCCAGCGAGTCCATCCAGACCAGGCCTTCCCCCAGATCCCAGCAAACCATCGTCACCTGGTCATTGGTCAAGACTCAGTCAGTAAAATTTTACACTCGTAACTTGTTGAAGCTTTGAAGCTTGTATATTACCGCCCATAAGGTTAGCAAGTGTCAGGTACTAACCATGTATAAATAAATAATTTCAACATCTTGATCTTTTCTCGCTCTGAACGCGTCAATTTGGAGGTGATAAGCGTACTGTCACTCAGATGACAGATTTAAACGATTTATTACCTATTTTTTATTTATTTTGTTATTTTTTCAATTACCTGGTGCTCCCCGAGCTCCGTCAGCACCGGGGTCTCCCCTTTCTCCCTTTTGAGCGTAACGTACTTTACCGTCCCGTCCATCTTCTCCTGGACTACCTAAAAGAAGTTAAAAGGTAACATATAATGCCTTCGACTGCACAACTATTCAAAAAAAATACATTTCACTCCAGTTTAATTGAGTTTATCAATATTTTGAACCTAAAACTCTCTACCTTTTCGTCCATTTAAGCCAGTAGTGCCATCAAGTCCCCTTTCACCAGGAGTACCATCAGTTCCAGCAGTACCAGGTGCTCCTGGAGCTCCTCTCAAACCAGGGGTTCCTCCCATTCCTCTCAAACCTGGTCTTCCGGGCATACCGTTCACTCCTACACGGACATTCGATTAGGTCGGTAGTCTAATAATAATCTAGTCGATAGTCTAATAATAATCTAATAACATAATGACTCATTGTCTTCATAGTTTAATGACTCATTGACTCATTGTCTTTATAGTTTCGTGTAGTTTTTACTCATAATTGTCTACAGAGAGTAACCTAACAATTAAAAATATTAATTAACTAATTAACTAATTAACTAACTAAATAACTAACCTGATGTACCCTTCTGACCGTTCACTCCGTTAAACCCATCTCTACCAGGTGAACCAGGTGCTCCTCCTAACCCAGGCTCTCCACCCTGGCCTGGGGTACCAGGGACACCAGCTCGTCCCGGGGAACCGGGCAGTCCTCCGTCCCCCATGAGACCGTCAATACCCTGGCAAAGGGAGGGGGTTGTTATTCTTAGTGACAAGATAGGGGTAAACATTGATCAGACTGTTAAAATGATGAATTGAACCCCAAAACCGAGGCAAATTGACGAAGTTTTGCTTTGTTTTAGAAGCTTACGTTAATTCCTGGTGCTCCAGAGGTACCTGCCTCTCCTCGCTCTCCGTTTTCTCCATCAGCACCATCTTCTCCTCTCATTCCTGGGAAATTCAATATGGTTAAAACGTATCACTTTTTTAAAAATGTTCCTTTTTCTGATGTTAGACCGGATTCAGTTTTTATTTACTGATTGACAACGTTTTCCGGACGGTCCCGTTTCCTTTATCTTATAGTGCTCGATTTGAAAGTACGGTTCATATGTTCTAAACAGAAAAAATAAAATATTATATAAGTTCAGGACAACATTGACCTGGTAATCCTCGCATGTCCAGACCGGGTGCACCGTCCAAACCTGGATCTCCCATAGCACCGGGTAAACCGGGGGTTCCTGATAAGAAATATTGTTAGGTTAATTTGAAACTTAAATAATTTAATTTTGAACGAATATTTACTGAAATAAACTCTTGAATCAGAAGTAGCGATACTGTAGCAGCACAGTTGTAGTAGTACTGTAGTAGTACTGTAGCAGTACTGTTATAGTACTGTATTACTGTATTATGTATTAGTAACGAAGTAATATCAGTACTTGACTCTCTTGCCAAAAAAGGCTCTGATAACTTGGACTCCACTCAAGTGCTACTATACCAATACCAAAAGTATTATGGAAGGGAGCGCTGCGGCAGCGGAGCATAAGTCATCAAAAAATGAGGGAAAGATGGAGAACGTTGCCCAACACTCACTTCAAACGAGTATGGAGACACAAGTTCGCCAGATCAATCCCGAAACTTGGCAAAGAGAGCACAAGAAAAGCGACACAATTCCTTACTGGACATTGTGAACTAAACTACCATACTAATAAGTTCAAGCCGACAACGGTCCCTAAAATTTGTCCACACTGTCTCATGGAAGAGGAGATAATGAACCACTTTATTGGTCAGTGCCCAAAGTGGTCTTACCAACGAGGAGGATACTTTTACTCCTTCTATCTTAGTGTGACAGAAATAGTGGACAAGTTCTCACTACCAAGGATCATCGGCTTCATACAAGCAACAAAACGATTCACCAAATGCGGAGAAAACAAAGTTTAACTTTTTTCTCCACTTATTAATATTTTACCGGGGTAAGCACAGGGCTCCAATGCTCTATTTTACAGTGGTCATGATCTATCTTATAGTGATAATGACCACAGCCCCCTACGAAGAAGAAATAATATCAGTACTGTATCAGAATACTATATTATAATCACCTCTCATTCCTATTTCAAAATATATATAATATATATAATCTAATTTTAACCGAATATTAACTGAAATAAACTCATAAAATGGGGTAAGCAGTACAGTTGTAGGATTGATGTATTAATAAAGTAACAGTAGAATTGTAGAAGAACAACATACAACTATATAATCACCTCTCATTCCTAATTCACCAGGGTTACCCCGGGCACCAGGGAGTCCTGGTTGTCCGGATAGCCCATCATTTCCAGGTTCTCCTGGTCGACCAGGTAAAGCGAATCCCTGCAGGTTCAAAAGTTAAACTTTCATTAAACTAATTTATTTAATCACGGAAGTTAACTGATTAGGTATAAAATCGGATTTATATTATGCACGTTCAGAGACCTGATTCTCATTCAGTTTGTGTTGCTTTACAGTAAGATGCATGTTTGCATATTAATAAGACTTCTCCATATTGATAAGACTCACAGTGGTTCCAGGGCGGCCAGGTTCCCCTGGTGCTCCACCTCTTCCAGGTGAGCCAGGTAGTCCAGCTCCTCCGGGACCTCCCATAATTCCTAGATCTCCGGGAGCTCCTCTGTTTCCTGTGAGATGTTAGTTTTTTGAAAACCAGAACACCAGTTAAAAAGTATGATAGGGACATGAAAGTTTGTGTTAAATTAAAAATCTAGTGCGGGTTCATATTTGTTTCAGAAACAGAACCTCCTAAAATCCTACGGATACCAAACAAATAGACGTAATTTATTCCCACCTGGGATTCCGAGTCTTCCATTGCTTCCTCTCTTCCCGGGTGCTCCTCTTAGTCCTGGGGTACCCTGAAATATATCCGGGATCAGGGACGAGTTAGATACTACCAGCAACTTTACAAAGGGGTCATGTGTCATCTGTTATAGGTTAGCAAGAGTTGTTTTGTCCAGATGGAAATAGTCAAGGCTAATACATTAGTAGCAAAGAGTTTGGGAAGGACGATACTTACAGGGAAGCCAGCAATACCATCAATACCAGGGCCTCCTGGCGTTCCTAATCTTCCGGGCTCTCCGTTTAATCCGGGGGTTCCGTCATCTCCCTGTTGGTGCATTGCATAAGATAACAATTTATTAACAAAGCATTTTGCGTCTTCTTACAAGACTTTTGTTAAATTATTAATAAAATTTTGCTAGCTATCACCGGAACACTTCTTTTCTAGTAGCTCACACACCTTAAAATTGTACCAAACCCCATAGTAACATTACACAGCAACATGTCAAATAACTCACCGGAAGTCCACCTCGTCCCCTAAGAGGAGGTAGTTTAGGAGTGGTTCCCGGTTCTCCAGGTGCTCCTCGCAGACTCTTACCAGGTTCACCTGTCTCACCAGGTAACCCTCTTTGTCCGGTTCCGCCTCTGGATCCTCCTCTACCTGGGGACCCCTGTAATAGTTTTACAGGTTAACATGTTGTATGGTTGTGTATAATATCAAGTGTTTTATCTATCAGTGAGAAACATCTTTTTACCACTACTTAGACTTTTGTCGATTGCCTTTAGTAGTCTGTTTCATGACAATGGAATTATGCCAGAACATGAATTCAAATAACCAACTCACATTTCTGCCAGGTCTGCCATCTTTACCCCGGTCTCCAGGTTCACCAAGTCCACCAGGTGTGCTTGGAATACCGTCCCTCCCAGGCTCTCCTCGGTCACCAGGTCTTCCGGGTCTACCCTGAACACGGCAATTTGTTAGTCAGATGAAATACGAGCAGTTTCGTCATATATTTTGGTGCTGTGGTTGTCTACGGTATTTTGGTGATGAGAACTAGACTCACCATGTCTCCCATTGAACCAGGTCTGCCCCTGTTTCCGTCCCTTCCTCCTTCACCGCCATCACCCGGGAGACCAATTGTACCTGGGCTACCAGGGGTTCCTGACTGTCCGGCTTCTCCTCTACCTCCTAGATGGAAATTTCGTCACAATAATGTTATTTATTCTTTAAAGGGTCCGATGAGAAAATTTGAATGGAAAGAAAACTACAGAAATGAACAAAGACATCAGAGAAAAATATCCAGGAGACAAACATTATCAGAGAAAATCGTTTTTAGTGGGTATTGGTTTGTTTTGATAAAAATTATATTACGATAAACTGACCTGGTCGTCCAGCAGTGCCAGGAAATCCTGCTCTGCCAGGAGCTCCATCAGCACCAGGTTCACCAGGTTCTCCTCTTTCTGTGTTCTGACCGGGCTCACCAGCTCGTCCCTGGTCTCCGGGCTCTCCTCTCTTTCCGGGGGAGCCTGGTGATCCATCTCTTCCTAGACGACCTGGGTCTCCCTGTCATAAGAGATTTGTGAGAAAATATAAAGTTGTGTAATTTAGGTTACGGTGAATTATTGTAATCGGCCCAAAACAAATCAGTTAAGTTTCAAAATATTTGTTTGGGATTTTAAACTTAGGCACCAAAATCCTATCTAGTTCGGCTGCCAGACTTTGGGGCCGGAGTGATATGATCCACCATATACGTCATCAAGTAATTAACATGCAAGCTTGAAGCTTGTGGCGTATAATTAGTGATGTGATCCATGGATTGAATATAATTGACCTAGAAATGGGCTAGATCTGGGGTAGAGTTCATATGAGTTGGGTATGTCGTGTAGAAAGAACAAAGGTCGTACAGAATACTGCTGGAAGGAGTAGTCTCCCAGTGCCTTTCTCCACTTGAATATATACACATAGTTTTTATAAATGAGGATCGAACGATATAACATCGTTTGATCTTTATCTTTCGTGGTAAAAGTTTCCGGTGGATTAGAATAATATTGACATAATCAGAAAAGGGGTGAGGGTTCTGTCGACGTTTATTAACTTAGAAAGTTCAAATAATCACAATTATTTGAATTATTTAATTATAATTTTTCGTGATCCAAAGGTAACTGGTAAAGTAATAATTGGTAGTGGTATAAAACCTGATACACGAGCCGTTGACGGACAACTAAGAACCTTTCAATTTTACCTAGTTAACTAATTAACATGCAAGCTTGGGAAATCCAATCAGCTCCGTCAACTAAGAACCAATCAATACATATCCCCGACAACTAAGAACCTCTGGAGATATACTTAAAGCATTCAGATTTCCACTGATTTCACAGCTGTGCTATATATATTTCTGCATTAATTAAGATTAGGAGAAGCTTTTTTAAGATTATGATAGTTCAAACTCACTATAATAATTGCATACAAAATAAATTACTCAATCTCATGGCCACTGCAGTATTTGAGTATTTGGCAATCTCAATCGCCCAGCAGAGTAGATGGCTGTATCTTTAGGATTCTAGAGGGAGTAGATATTAACATGTACCCGTCCGTGTCCAAACACTTCTTCGTATACTTCATAATACACAGCTACTTACTAAACTGTCATTTGAACCTTACCCAGGTTCTTGCTTGTCCGGCTGGTAGGATGGTTATAATATGGATCACATCAAAATTGATACGTCACTGATTGGGCCATGTGATGGATTACACAGGATTTACACAGGATTTTACACAGGATTAAATTAAATTATAGATTCATTATCATGGACCGTCATACCCAGGTTCTTGCTTGTCCGGCTGGTAGGATGGTTATAATATGGATCACATCAAAATTGATACGTCACTGATTGGGCCATGTGATGGATTACACAGGATTTACACAGGATTTTACACAGGATTAAATTAAATTATAGATTCATTATCATGGACCGTCATAATTGTTTACAGAAATTAATGAAAACAATCTACGTCACTGATTGGGCCATGTGATGGATTACACAGGATTTACACAGGATTTTACACAGGATTAAATTAAATTATAGATTCATTATCATGGACCGTCATAATTGTTTACAGAAATTAATGAAAACAATCATCTTTCATGTGATACCTGTGGGAGCCCGGAATGAGAGGTTCCTAGTTGTCGGTCACCAGCGTGTACTTTACTAAAACGTTTTACACGTGATTTTATTTGAGATGTATCTATAGTTCAATTAATAATTTGTCTTTCAAAACAATTAGTGCGTTTTTGTTAATAATTAGCGCGTTCTTCTAGTCCACAGTTTTCCAAAACAATTAGCGTGTTCTAAAGTTCTAATACTCTAATAGTCTACCTCAGTTTTCCATGCAATAATACTCATGTGCTTCGTGTTATTCATGTACTGCATGTACTTCATTACTTCACTGTAATCTACTTTTCTTGTTGCCACAATCTGTATTTACTATTTACTTACCTCGTCGTTTCTCGCTTGGAAATACCACCCTCAAGTCGTGTCTTCAACGTTTGTATGAGTTGGTCTCCGACAAGGACAACTCTCTGCTATAATACCATCTTATAACCATCCTATAAACAGCTTAAAAAGCGTGTAATTCACCAGAAAGGACACTATAACCGCACCAAAGAAGTGCAGGTTATATCTTAATTATTAAATTATAGGACAATGTGAGATAGAGTTACGTGGATACAGCTGTACGGAAAAGAGCTGTAAGTAATAGTTTAGTGAGGTTCAACACTACCAACAGTACAACTTACACCCTTGTTTATTTTAATCGTTATATTTCTCACGTTGCGCGTAGTCAATTTTAATTTTTAGAAGTGAAGAGGAAAACACGTGGTTGTTAAAATGAAGAACGGGAATGTTTTGTCGGTTTCGCCACCTCGACGAATCAATGTGGTTGCATACTCCAAGCATTGGAGAGTGTGTAGTGGTATACAGAAGATCTTCTTCTTTCTTTTAATTTGTTGTGTCCTTTTGCTTTGCTACATCGGTAGCAATTGGACGACTTCAACTTCAACGATTGAAAAAAGGCAGTTTTCAGATAACAATTTCAAAAAAGCCATGTCAATTAAAACTTTCAAAGCACTTAAACTTGCTGAACATGAAAACAAAATAACACTGAAAACAAGTGAAGACAACGAAATCAGAAGACTAGAATCACTTTATCAGCGGAACATAACCTTCAACTGGGACAACAAACACGGCTTTATACCACCTAGTAAACCAGTGTTCTACAAACATTGCTTGAGATACCTTGAGGGAGAATATTCTAGTAAAGTTAGTGTCGTCATCTCCTTTAAAGATGAACTACTGTCTATACTGTTGAGGACTTTGACCACTTTAGTGTTCCGAACTCCAGTCCATCTCCTCCACGAGATCATCCTGGTGGACGACGGAAGCTTCCAGAACCACCGGCAGGATGTGCTCAAACACTTTCAGTTGCTGGATGTAGTGATGGTGTGGTACAGGAGAAACAGCAGTGTTGGTATCGCTAATGCTAGACATTTTGGGATCAAGCAGGCTGCAGGAGACGTGGTGGCCATTCTTGACAGCCACATGGTTGTATCAGAAATGTGGCTACAACCTTTGCTTGCAACTCTGTCTCAGAAACCGAGAGGAATAGCGGTGCCTCTTGTTCAGATGATTATGGATGATGAATATGACAAGTACCACCTCTGTAAGATAAACCCTTATTCTTGGAAGATGATCAGAGGATATCAAGGGTTAGACTTCACTGACTTTTATCTCAATAAAACTGACGAAACACAACCTTATCCTACCCCTGTGATAGGCGGAGGTGCTATGGTTGCCAAGACAACAACATTATTAGAACTGTGGCCCCGCCAAATCTATAAAGGTTCGTGGGGTGTGGAGAATTTACGTCTATCTTTGCGGGCCTGGACGTGTGCTGGGGGATTATGGGTCAGTGTTTGTGGGCAAATAACCCATCCGAACGGGTTGGATCCTAACTTGAGTAGGTACAATGTTAATAATCCGGAGATAAAAAAGTTTAGACTTTCAGAGACAGCTGGGGAGATTGTAAATGTTATGAAAAACCGTAAAGATAGCGAGAGGTTGATACAGTCGACCTACTTCTCTGAGCTGAGAGGTGATATATTCAAAACAGCTGAACTAATTTCAAAGTCCTTCAATTACACTAAATGTGAGAGGGATTATGATTGGTATTTGAATTACGTCCACGGTACTTATCATTTCAAACTGTTTGATCACCCAAGATTCGAACATGTGGGTGTTTTCCAATCAGCTGCAGAACCCAACAGGTGCCTTGTTAATATTATCTCAAAGAACCAAGTTGGGACCGACACAGAGTGCGGCTCGATCACTGCCTCCTCAAACCCTGGTGTGGCTAAGAATATTGACATTGCGGACCCACATCTCATGGGTATATCTGCTACCCCTCGGGGTGTTACGATCTCTACTGATGTATATTATAGTCCTACTTGCTGGGATGCTCACCACAGGTTGTTGTTACTTTAACTTATTTATTGGTTACCTATTATCTAGTTACTTATCTATTAATTGCTTACGTATTATAATTCTGGAGCAGAAATTCAATAGCAATATTTGAGTGAACTACATTAGTGCGTTTCGTGCATTAGATTCTCTAGGTCTCTGAACAAGCACTAAAATGCGACCAATGCTTCATAAATTTAGCAGCTCGAATCAGTTACCACTTACCAAAATATTTAACACATCGGGCTAATTATTTAGCTTAATAAGCATCTTTCTTAACAACTTAATTAATTTCTTTTTAATAACTTAATAAACACTCTAGGGCCTGTCGTGATATCATGGATCGCTTAGGTTCCACCAGGATCTGGTAGTCCTCATAATTCTGCGGCCTCTATGTTTCGTCATCTCGCACAACTCTTTAAGAATCTTGTGGATTTGGCATGTGAAAATTTGCAGCCTTCCAGACATTGATTGGGTTAACGAGGTGTCGTACGTCACCTCAAGATCGGGTGACAGGGGGCTGACCAGGCCAGAACCCAATTGATTGGGTCTTAGGTCACGTGATTATGAGCCTGAGGTCACGTGACTATGACGTCACCAGACCTTCCTCTCCGTTTCCCGCTCATTGGACCAGGTGAGCTTGCATGCATGTGAATGTGGGTGTAAGTATAGCTGTACTGTAGTTTATACCTAATTAAACCCCTATAGAAACCGAAAATTTATTTTCTGGCAGAAAGCTAGAAATTTACCAAAATATCGTCATTGTTTTAAATTTATTTTGATGACCATTCCTGACCTAAAATCGCACGAGAAATCGATTAAACTTGGTTTCAGAATTCAACAATGCTTCCTTATGCCTTAAAATCCATGTTTTATCAATACAATCAACATCTCGATCATGTAGTTAAACTTATTACTTAACGGATTCAAGTATAGTTACGCGGTAGACAAACGAGAGCACGTTTCCTTGATTTTTGTAGTGGATTTGTAGTGCTTTTCACCCCTGTAGTGCTTTTATGTTCCGGGGTAGGTGGGACATGTTTTAGTTTAAAAATGGGTTCTGCCTGTCCCAAACCATCATAAAAATCAAGTTTCGACCTCTCAACCCACTCGGGCCACTCCCAGGGGCCACGCCCATCCCAAAATGACCGAAATCCAGCTAAATCCAGACTTTAAAATCTTTACCCCTGTAGTGCTTTTATGTTCCGGGGTAGGTGGGACATGTTTTAGTTTAAAAATGGGTTCTGCCTGTCCCAAACCATCATAAAAATCAAGTTTCGACCTCTCAACCCACTCGGGCCACTCCCAGGGGCCACGCCCATCCCAAAATGACCGAAATCCAGCTAAATCCAGACTTTAAAATCTTTACCCCTGTAGTGCTTTTATGTTCCGGGGTAGGTGGGACATGTTTTAGTTTTAAAATGGGTTCTGCCTAACCCAAACCATCATAAAAATCAAGTTTCGACCTCTCAACCCACTCGGGCCACTCCCAGGGGCCACGCCCATCCCAAAATGACCGAAATCCAGCTAAAATCCAGACTTTAAAATCTTGACCCCTGTAGTGCTTTTATGTTCCGGGGTAGGTGGGACATGTTTTAGTTTTAAAATGGGTTCTACATGTCCCAAACCATCATAAAAATCAAGTTTCGACCTCTCAACCCACTCAGATCACTCCCAGGGGCCACGCCCATCCCAAAATGACCGAAATCCAGCTAAAATCCAGACTTTAAAATCTGTACCCCTGTAGTGCTTTTATGTTCCGGGGTAGGTGGGACATGTTTTAGTTTTAAAATGGGTTCTGCCTATCCCAAACCATCATAAAAATCAAGTTTCGACCTCTCAACCCACTTGGGCCACTCCCAGGGGCCACGCCCATCCCAAAATGACCGAAATCCAGCTAAAATCCAGACTTTAAAATCTTTACCCCTGTAGTGCTTTTATGTTCCGGGGTAGGTGGGACATGTTTTAGTTTTAAAATGGGTTCTGCCTGTCCCAAACCATCATAAAAATCAAGTTACGACCTCTCAACCCACTCGGGCCACTCCCAGGGGCCACGCCCATCCCAAAATGACCGAAATCCAGCTAAAATCTACACTTTAAAATTTTGACCCCTGTAGTGCTTTTATGTTCCGGGGTAGGTGGGACATGTTTTAGTTTAAAAATGGGTTCTACATGTCCCAAACCATCATAAAAATCAAGTTTCGAACTATCAACCCACTCAGGCCACTCCCAGGGGCCACGCCCATCCCAAAATGACCGAAATCCAGCTAAAATCCAGACTTTAAAATCTTTACCCCTGTAGTGCTTTTATGTTCCGGGGTAGGTGGGACATGTTTTAGTTTAAAAATGGGTTCTGCCTGTCCCAAACCATCATAAAATCAAGTTTCGACCTCTCAACCCACTCGGGCCACTCCCAGGGGCCACGCCCATCCCAAAATCACCGAAATCCAGCTAAAATCCAGACTTTAAAATCTTGACCCCTGTATTGCTTTTATGTTTCGGGGTAGGTGGGACAAGTTTAAAAATGGGTTCTGCCTGTCCCAAACCATCATAAAAATCAAATTTCGACCTCTCAACCCACTCAGGCCACTCCCAGGGGCCACGCCCATCCCAAAATGACCGAAATCCAGCTGAAATCCAGACTTTAAAATCTTGACCCCTGTAGTGCTTTTATGTTCCGGGGTAGGTGGGGCATGTTTTAGTTTTAAAATGGGTTGTACCTGTCCGGTCCCAAACCATCATAAAAATCAAGTTTTGACTTCTCAACCCATTCACATCCACAACCTTCCGTATGTAGGTACGTACTTCAAAAAACCGAAAAATATATTTTCGGCTCAGAATGATCAGGGTAGCATGAAACATGAACAAAAGTAGTTTCCAGAAAAACTTTGAAAAATTTTCAGTCCGAGTCATTCTCGATATGTACCTCTGAAAGCAGAGCTCCCGCTTCCGAGCTCGTATTGCGAAGGACAAGCCTGCCTTCCGAGATCGCATTACAAAGGGGACCCTCGAGTCCAAAATCGTATATCGAAAGGGTAGGTGCGGACTTGGAAAACCGAAAAAAATATTTTTGGCTCATAGTGATCAGGGTAGCATGTAACATGAAGAAAAGTAGTTTCCAGAAAAGCTTTGAAAAATTTTGACTCAGAAAATTTTCAGTCCGAGTCATTCTCGATATGTACCTCTGAAAGCAGAGCTCCCGCTTCCGAGCTCGTATTGCGAAGGGAAGGCCTGCCTTCCGAGATCGCATTACAAAGGGGAACCCTTGAGTCCAAAATCGTATAATATCGAACTTCGAAAACCGAATAATATTTTTTTCGGTTTTCGAAGTCTGCACCTACCCTTTCGATATACGATTTTGGACTCGAGGGTCCCCTTTGTAATGCGATCTCGGAAGGCAGGCCTCCCCTTCCCGATACGAGCTCGGAAGCTGGAGCTCTGCTTTCAGAGGTACATATCGAGAATGACTCGGACGTCAAAATTTTTCAAAGTTTTTCTGGAAACTACTTTTGTTCATGTTTCATGCTACCCTGATCATTCTGAGCCGAAAATATATTTTTCGGTTTTTTGAAGTCCGTACCTACATTCAGAAGATTGTGGATGTGAGTGGGTTGAGAGGTCGAAACTTGATTTTTATGATGGTTTGGGACAGGTAGAACCCATTTTAAAACTAAAACATGTCCCACCTACCCCGGAACATAAAAGCACTACAGGGATCAAATTTTTAAAGTCTGGATTTTAGCTGGATTTCGGTAATTTTGGCTTTTTGGGATGGGCGTGGCCCCTGGGAGTGATCTGAGTGGGTTGAGAGGTCGAAACTTGATTTTTATGATGGTTTGGGACAGGTAGAACCCATTTTTAAACTAAAACATGTCCCACCTACCCCGGAACATAAAAGCACTACAGGGGTCAAGATTTTAAAGTCTGGATTTTAGCTGGATTTCGGTCATTTTGGGATGGGCGTGGCCCCTAGGAGTGGCCTGAGTGGGTTGAGAGGTCGAAACTTGATTTTTATGATGGTTTGGGACAGGTAGAACCCATTTTTAAACTAAAACATGTCCCACCTACCCCGGAACATAAAAGCACTACAGGGGTCAAGATTTTAAAGTCTGGATTTTAGCTGGATTTCGGTAATTTTGGGATGGGCGTGGCCCCTGGGAGTGGCCTGAGTGGGTTGAGAGGTCGAAACATGATTTTTATGATGGTTTGGGACAGGTAGAACCCATTTTTAAACTAAAACATGTATCACCTACCCCGGAACATAAAAGCACTACAGGGGTCAAGATTTTAAAGTTTGGATTTTAGCTGGATTTCAGTCATTTTGGGATGGGCGTGGCCCCTGGGAGTGGCCTGAGTGGGTTGAGAGGTCGAAACTTGATTTTTATGATGGTTTGGGACAGGTAGAACCCATTTTTAAACTAAAACATGTCCCACCTACCCCGGAACATAAAAGCACTACAGGGGTCAAGATTTTAAAGTTTGAATTTTAGCTGGATTTCAGTCATTTTGGGATGGGCGTGGCCCCTGGGAGTGGCCTGAGTGGGTTGAGAGGTCGAAACTTGATTTTTATGATATTTTGGGACATGTAGAACCCATTTTTAAACTAAAACATGTCCCACCTACCCCGGAACATAAAAGCACTACAGGGGTCAAGATTTTAAAGTCTGGATTTTAGCTGGATTTCGGTAATTTTGGGATGGGCGTGGCCCCTGGGAGTGGCCTGAGTGGGTTGAGAGGTCGAAACATGATTTTTATGATGGTTTGGGACAGGTAGAACCCATTTTTAAACTAAAACATGTATCACCTACCCCGGAACATAAAAGCACTACAGGGGTCAAGATTTTAAAGTCTGGATTTTAGCTGGATTTCAGTCATTTTGGGATGGGCGTGGCCCCTGGGAGTGGCCTGAGTGGGTTGAGAGGTCGAAACTTGATTTTTATGATGGTTTGGGACAGGTAGAACCCATTTTTAAACTAAAACATGTCCCACCTACCCCGGAACATAAAAGCACTACAGGGGTAAAGATTTTAAAGTCTGGATTTTAGCTGGATTTCGGTCATTTTGGGATGGGCGTGGCCCCTGGGAGTGGCCTGAGTGGGTTGAGAGGTCGAAACTTGATTTTTATGATGGTTTGGGACAGGAGAACCCATTTTTAAACTAAAACATGTCCCACCTACCCCGGAACATAAAAGCACTACAGGGGTAAAGATTTTAAAGTCTGGATTTTAGCTGGATTTCAGTCATTTTGGGATGGGCGTGGCCCCTGGGAGTGGCCTGAGTGGGTTGAGAGGTCGAAACTTGATTTTTATGATGGTTTGGGACAGGCAGAACCCATTTTTAAACTAAAACATGTCCCACCTACCCCGGAACATAAAAGCACTACAGGGGTAAAGATTTTAAAGTCTGGATTTTAGCTGGATTTCGGTAATTTTGGGATGGGCGTGGCCCCTGGGAGTGGCCTGAGTGGGTTGAGAGGTCGAAACTTGATTTTTATGATGGTTTGGGACAGGCAGAACCCATTTTTAAACTAAAACATGTCCCACCTACCCCGGAACATAAAAGCACTACAGGGGTAAAGATTTTAAAGTCTGGATTTTAGCTGGATTTCGGTAATTTTGGGATGGGCGTGGCCCCTGGGAGTGGCCTGAGTGGGTTGAGAGGTCGAAACTTGATTTTTATGATGGTTTGGGACAGGTAGAACCCATTTTTAAACTAAAACATGTCCCACCTACCCTGGAACATAAAAGCACTACAGGGGTAAAGATTTTAAAGTCTGGATTTTAGCTGGATTTCGGTAATTTTGGGATGGGCGTGGCCCCTGGGAGTGGCCTGAGTGGGTTGAGAGGTCGAAACTTGATTTTTATGATGGTTTGGGACAGGTAGAACCCATTTTTAAACTAAAACATGTCCCACCTACCCCGGAACATAAAAGCACTACAGGGGTAAAGATTTTAAAGTCTGGATTTTAGCTGGATTTCGGTAATTTTGGGATGGGCGTGGCCCCTGGGAGTGGCCTGAGTGGGTTGAGAGGTCGAAACTTGATTTTTATGATGGTTTGGGACAGGTAGAACCCATTTTTAAACTAAAACATGTCCACCTACCCCGGAACATAAAAGCACTACAGGGGTAAAGATTTTAAAGTCTGGATTTTAGCTGGATTTCGGTAATTTTGGGATGGGCGTGGCCCCTGGGAGTGGCCTGAGTGGGTTGAGAGGTCGAAACTTGATTTTTATGATGGTTTGGGACAGGTAGAACCCATTTTTAAACTAAAACATGTCCCACCTACCCCGGAACATAAAAGCACTACAGGGGTAAAGATTTTAAAGACTGGATTTTAGCTGGATTTTTCATTTTGGGATGGGCGTGGCCCCTGGGAGTGGCTTGAGTGGGTTGAGAGGTCGAAACTTGATTTTTATGATGGTTTGGGACAGGCAGAACCCATTTTTAAACCAAAACATGTATCACCTACCCCGGAACATAAAAGCACTACATGGGTAAAGATTTTAAAGACTGGATTTTAGCTGGATTTCAGTCATTTTGGGATGGGCGTGGCCCCTGGGAGTGGCTTGAGTGGGTTGAGAGGTCGAAACTTGATTTTTATGATGGTTTGGGACAGGTAGAACCCATTTTTAAACTAAAACATGTCCCACCTACCCTGGAACATAAAAGCACTACAGGGGTAAAGAATCTCGATCTGGATTTTTGCTGGATTTCAGTAATTTTGGGATTGGCATGGCCTCTGGGAGTGGCTTGAGTGGTTCAAGAGCTTAAAACTTGGTCTTTGTGATGGTTAGGGATATGTACTACCTATTTAACCACCAAACATGTTTCAAATACTCAGCAACACATATCCCCTTTAGGGCCCAGGGGTAAAGATTCTCATTCTGGATTTTTAGGGATTTTTCACAGATTTTAAGCTATTTGGGATGGGCGGCCTGAGTGGGGTGTATGTGTTACTTAGATTTTCATATCTTATAAGTGTCTATAAAAGTATAAGTACGAGCAGTTTATTGAAACTTCTGACTTCTACCGTCGTAGATTCTACAATGATAAATATTTTAACGTACGTGCGGCGCGCAAAATCCACTACAAAATCCACTACAAAATTCAGGGAAACGTCTTCTGAGACAAACTAAAACAAAATTGTAGATTTATAACCTACCAGGACCTGCGCCGAGTTAAACTCGTCGAAGGTAATATTTGGAACAAATATTTTACGAGTATCACCCGTTAAATAAACTTATATGTATAAAAACCTTGTGTTATGTGCAATTTGTGCAATTTCAGTTGGGCAGCTTTTTTTAAGTGTCTGTTATTTCAATTTTCGTAAACCTACTACCTGGGAATGTCATGAATTAAAAAGGTGACCATCTTTGGTTATAACTATCACTTTGCAAATCCAGCAGATCTACTTTCGTAAAATATTTTGTTAACAATTTCTAATAAAATTCAGGTTGCGCTGGTGAGGCTAAATGTTAAAAGTGAGTCGTCGATTGGTACAGTATAAATGGAAAAGACAACTACTTTTTATATTAATATAATTATTTATTTTTATAAGATTACTTATGAATTTATTCGAGAATTAATCTGGAAGTATTATCGGCATCTTTTCACACATATATGACTACTAGCACATACACAGTGGCCAATAAGATGTACACAGCAGGGTTTCAGCGTAATAATCGATCTTTTAGAATGTTCTAGTTTGAGTGTAGAATAGCCATTAGAGCTGAGTGTAAGATTAGGTAGGATTAGTGTATAGCTTTTTGATGGTTTTGCGGAGTAAGACACGCGTTAGTAGGGTGCATTAGTTAACAATATGTGGCCAATTGCAACAGCTTATTCTACTGATAGAATATATCGACCAATGGCAGCAGTTTTAATCAAGATTACGCTAAAAAAGGCTGCTAAATTACGCAAGAAATGCAAGCATTATTTTAATCGTTACATTTTCAATTCGTTACAATTTTCCATTCAAAAATGAAGTTTTCCTCCCTTATTGGAGAGCCACTTGAGTTACCTCAAACGATTCCTTCGACTAGGAGAGTGCTTCAATTATTACTTCTTAGAAGTGACCAGCAACCGAAGGTACAGATTAACAGAATTCTGACCTTGGTGGCTGAGGAACTTGTTCAATTTTGTTTAATATAACACCGGTATTCTTTAAAATATTTATGAAACTTATATATAATATACGAAAACATATATATATTTATCCTCAGCAAAGAAGGAGTATGCCCGGGTAACCCTACCCCCCTTGCTACGTGGTCTGACGAGAGCCGCTATCATCTCCTTTATAAGAATGCCTCTCAAAACGGCATTTGTCAACAACAATCAAGCCGTTGAGAGGCAAGTGGCTCTTATGTCAACCTGTGGTAAGAAGGTGGTAGGGGAGGATAGGAAGTCTGGGCAACAAATTGCTGTCGCAGAGCACAGACAGCAAACGAAAAAGCAGAAGAAGTGAAGGTACAATAAATCAGATATACTGTATTTCCTAAGTGGCTCACAGGTAGGAGCTCAACCATTATTTCTTGTATTGTCACAAAAAACGTCTGTAGCTTAACTTAATTTCAGATCACATCAATCATTATAATGGATTATAAATAATGCTAAACATTAGCCATATTAACTGAAGAGTATTATGTAGGCTTTTATCAACCATATAATGCTTTATATCCCACACCCAAGTAACGGAAATGCAATTGATGTTAACCTGTCGACAATATTTCAGACAATATTCCCGCAAGCAAGCACGTTCCTTCGTTCTGCTCTGATCTCTACTCTGTTACTAACTGATGATGGACTTTGATACGATTCGTTGATATGATTTTTTGACGTATTGTATACAGCTTGCATTTAACCATATGGTTCAGACAAAAGGACAATTAAACTGGTGTTTTGTTTTTAACGGGTGATACTCGTAAAATATTACCTTCGACGAGTTTAACTCGGCGCACGTCCTGGCAGGTTATAAACCTACAATTTTGTTTTAGTTTGTCTACCGCGTAACTATACTTGAATCCGTTAAGTAATAAGTTTAACTACATGATCGAGATGTTGATTGTATTGATAAAACATGGATTTTAAGACATAAGGAAGCATTGTTGAGTTCTGAAACCAAGTTTAATCGATTTCTCGTGCGATTTTAGGTCAGGGATGGTCATCAAAATAAATTTAAAACAATGACGATATTTTGGTATATTTCTAGCTTTCTGCCAGAAAATAAATTTTCGGTTTCTATAGGGGTTTAATTAGGTATAAACTACAGTACAGCTATACTTACACCCACATTCACATGCATGCAAGCTCACCTGGTCCAATGAGCGGGAAACGGAGAGGAAGGTCTGGTGACGTCATAGTCACGTGACCTCAGGCTCATAATCACGTGACCTAAGACCCAATCAATTGGGTTCTGGCCTGGTCAGCCCCCTGTCACCCGATCTTGAGGTGACGTACAACACCTCGTTAACCCAATCAATGTCTGGAAGGCTGCAAATTTTCACATGCCAAATCCACAAGATTCTTAAAGAGTTGTGCGAGATGACGAAACATAGAGGCCGCAGAATTATGAGGACTACCAGATCCTGGTGGAACCTAAGCGATCCATGATATCACGACAGGCCCTATAAACACTCTCTCCAGCGGAGACCAAAAGCCCATCTCCTTCTGGACCTGTCACGTGGGATCAGGAGAGTCCCTCCCCCAACAACAGTTTGCTTTTGATACAGTCAACCATCAGATTCAACATCTCCCTACTAATAGATGTGTGGAGATGATCAGGAATGTTGATAGGGTGGAGTTGAATAGTTGCGATGTTGAAAACGATGAACAAAGGTGGATTTTATATAGACCCTCCTGGTGGAGGGTTTGAGATATTTTTATTTCACAGATTATATATTGGTTATGTTAATTCCATTTTCCATTTAAATTGACATCCGAATTTAACATAATGTATAACTTCACAGCACTAAACATAAAATGGATTCTTTGAGACTTTGCAGCTTTTATTCATTTATTTGTAGGATTTGGATAATAACTGTTTTGCTTGTTTACTGTATTAAAAATCGATTGAAAATTTATCTGCTAAAAAACAATAAAAATATTTCTGATTTTTAATGGTTTGATAGCAAAAGATCTGGTACCCTTTGCACAATCTTAACTATGAACGGTCTACCATTAACCATAAAAGAACGGCTTGTTAATAAAACCCACCCTGATGTTGAAAATTTAGATATATAAATTAATCAATCAAACGATATTTTTCAGTAATCGATCACAAAATGATATAAAACATCATAAAACAATTTCAAATGTAAAAAGAAAGCTAAAACTATATTTTTCCGCCACTGATAATTCGTTTAACGGCGTGTAGTCCATTATAAAAATAAAAACCTTCATGAATTTCAGAATATTGACTAATATTTTACAAGTAATCGGAATCGCATCAGAAGAAAAGAAGAAAATAATAAATACGGGAGAGACAGAAAATCGAAGCCCCAAATCCAACCCCATTTTTATCATAGATAATAACTGCATGAGTTCAGATGAAAATGATATGAACTGATTTGAAATGATTGTACCTAATATCAAAATATCTTTCAATATCTTTAGATGTGTACGTCTATCATTCGCCTGCATACCGCGCAACGAGAAATGGACTTCGTCTTCAATCGATCATCGAAAATTCCTATGGGGCCAAAATCAGATCACGATTATTCACTTTTACAAATTTAGCAAAATCAATTTTCATATTTATAATCAAAATAGATTAAATTTTTTTCAAGTATTTTCGCTAACTACGGCGTTAAATAAAATAGTTTTTAAAACTTAATTAAGTATTTCACTAACCTAAAACACCATCTTCTGATGAGAAATCGGAAGCTTTGATGTACGCTGTTATCTGATCTTGACTCATAAAGTGACAGTTTGGTTCCCCACTTGAACCTGTCGTTGAAAGTCTTCTTTAGATCGTGTCATAAGTACAATGTACAATGTACAATGTACAATGTACAATGCACAATGTACAATTCACAATGTACAATGTACAATGTACAATGTACAATGTACAATGTACAATGTACAATGTACAATGTACAATGTATATAATTTAGCTTGATATCATTGAAAAATACATATTTACTCTTTTTACGAATGCTACTGCAGAAAGATCAAAGAAAAATAAATGATACACATTTTTCGGTGATTTTTTTCGGTGATTTTTTCGGTGATCATGTAATAATGAAGTAATGAACTGACCTGACATGACGCATCTAGCTGATAGCTGAGGGGTGAAGTACTTGAGACAAGAGCCGTGTTTCTCCAACTGTACACCAGTACTGCCACCACGGTCCCGCCCCTATTGGTGGTAATTGTAATTTGATAAATTGTAACAATTAATGTGTAACTCATCACGAGGGTTATGTAGTACTCGCAGGTACTACCCGTATTCACACTCAAAAATGAGTTTCCTCAGTTTCCGATGCGAGATTGGGACGGGTTCTATAAACAAACAAATAAACAAATAAACATTACGAGAGTTCATTTACATTCGCTGATATTATTCGCAGTTGTTATTCACATGGGATGGGTTGCTAGAGCCTAGACGTGTACATACTACTGTAATACATCTAAACTGACCACTATTTCGATGAGGCTATAGATCATACCAGGTGAGTGTATGTAAAGGGAGCAGCTATACGATGATCAGTAAAACTACACCTCACTTATTGTATGTTCAGTACGAATAGTAATAATTTGTTGCTGGTTTGTTATGTCAGCACCGTGTTCAATGCAAACTATCAGATTGAAGATAAGTTTGCGATCCATTGTTATCGCTTGGATTTGTTTAGTTCCACTTGTGACGATTTTTTATTTAATAAGTAGCTCGATCAGTTTCTCATCGTATAACGAACAGACAGAGCCATCCAGCGCTACTGGAAAACCTTTTTCTATCAAAATGTTCAAAGCCTTAAAAAGAGCTGAAGAGCGGTACAAGAACAGGCTCAAACACACCTCCAAAGAAGAAATCAGTAAGCTTGAAAACCTGACCCACAGAAGCCTGGAACTAAACTGGGACAGCAAGTTCGGGTTTCTACCACCGAGTAAACCCGTTCCCTACCGTGAATGTCTCCATCTTTATAGCTTAGACACCAGTTTGGAGGCTAAGGTCAGCGTGTTGATCACTTTTAAAGATGAGCTTGCCTCTATTTTGTTGAGAACAATAACTTCAATTGTGATGAGAACACCTGAGAACTTGCTTCACGAACTTGTCCTGATTGATGATGGCAGTTTCCATGACAACCAGATAGAAGTTGAAGAATATACTGCTTATTTCGGGGTTAGACTACGATGGTTCAGACTAAAAGCAAGTATCGGTATTGCAAACGCCAGACACTACGGACTGAAGCTAACCACGGGGAGTGTAGTAGTTATCCTGGATAGTCACATGATAGTATCAGATATGTGGTTACCACCCCTTCTCAGGACACTAGCGGATAAACCTCGTGGTATTGCTGTCCCCCTCGTTCAGATGACGATTGATGATCAGTATATTGAGGCTAACTCTGTTAAAACAACGCCGTATACCTGGAAATTGATTCGAGGGTATGGAACATTTTATTGGTCCATTTTCCAACCGAACGCCTCCAACCCAGCTCAAATACATCCATCAGCTGCTATTGGAGGTGGAGCCCTAGCAGCGAACAGAGACAATCTCTTACACCTCTGGCCACGTGAGAATTACACTGGGTTTTGGGGAGTAGAGAACGTGAGACTCTCGTTGAGAACTTGGGCGTGTGGTGAGGGGATGTGGTTAAATGTCTGCTCTCAAGTGGTCCATCCCAACGGGTTAGACCCTAGCTTGAAAAGGTATAATCTCTACGATCCTATCAAGTACAAGAACCGTCGTGTTGCTATTGCTGCTGAGATTTCTAACATCATGAAGGATAAGGGGCAGGTGTTACGGCTCTTAGACTCGACTGATTTTGGTAACTATCGTGCGGATGTAACACTTAAAACCGACCAATTCGCTCAGAACTTTAACCATACAAAATGCGCTCACAACTACAGCTGGTATCTCAAGAATATTCACCAAAGTTACAACTATCAATTCTTTGACGATCAACACTTCGAACATGTGGGCATATTTCAATCAGCAAGTGATCCTGATCAGTGTATTGTTAATGGGTTTGTAGACTCACCCGAGCAAACCCCTGACCGAGTTAAAACAGACTCCGCATGCAATCTAACGGCAGTAAATCTTATGAAAATAGACGTGTCAGACAGACATTTAATGGGATTTTCGAAAGATCCTCTGAGAGTGGTCACAGTTGCTGACGGATACTATGGTTTATATTGCTGGGACGGAATGAAACCAGACAATGGATCACCTATAAAATACTGGAGCTGCGAGAATAAGCCGGTGAACTCACCGACTCAGCAGCAATTCAGATACAATATTGTAAGTCAGCAGATAGAGCATGTGCACAGTGGTAGGTGTGTGGAAATGATGACTGGTCACCAGTTGGTGGAGTTGAATAAATGTGATCAGAGTAAACTGCAACAGAGGTGGATTAAACATGTTCCTTCTTGGTTAAGGAAGTAATTATCTAATATTTGTTTTGTGGATTATTCGCTTTCTCTTGTTGCTGTATCTAAATTAATATATTTTTCAAAACTTTAGATGATTAAACAGTGCTTGTTGAAAGTGACTGATACAAATTTATGCGTTTCCTATATTGTGAGGTGCTCAACTAATATGAATTAGGACAAACTCAAAGCAAAATGAACAGATCCAAAGTTTAAAAGGCTGATAGGTACAAATTACCAAACTTTCATTAAGTTACATAATCCCTTGACGTTAAAAAAATGTTGACGTACCATCATAAGACTAAAGCCGATCCAGAGCTCTTCCCATTTTTCAGGGCAACTTGGTACACTGCTACTGAAGGAGTGTATAGCCATCACTGCAGAGGGGGACTCGCACACAGAACCTGAAAAGTAACAGTTACCTCTCTGACAGTTTATTTTTATCAGCCAGAGAGTTTGGGTAAATATTTACGATATCTCAGGATTTTTGTAATATCTTTGAACTTTATGGATAAAAACTGTACTCAGGCAAATTTTAGAACTCACATCTAGAAATAAATTGCTTGATCCTGTCGGACTGATCATTCTCCTTGCCCCCGAAAATAAGTTCCTCTTGAGGGTAGTACTCTGATGCAGACATGTCTTCAGGGATGTCACCTACTGGCATCCACAGGGAAGAGTCGTCGCCTTTTACCTTGGTGATTTATAGTTTAAAGTAAATCGTACGAAATGCAGTGCCCCTCATGTATATTGTATAACTATAAGCGGTCCGAAGGGGTCTGAAGTTTTTAATTTAATTTTTACCTGATGGTAAGTATTACAAATATTGGTGGTGCCAGCAAGTACAGGTAAGTACAGGTAAGTACAGGTAAGTACAGGTAAGTACAGGTAAGTACAGGTAAGTACAGGTAAGTACAGGTAAGTACAGGTAAGTACAGGTAAGTACAGGTAAGTACAGGTAAGTACAGGTAAGTACAGGTAAGTACAGGTAAGTACAGGTAAGTACAGGTAAGTACAGGTAAGTACAGGTAAGTACAGGTAAGTAAGGTAAGTACAGGTAAGTACAGGTAAGCACAGGTAAGTAAAGGTAAGTACAGGTAAGTACAGGTAAGTACAGGTAAGTACAGGTAAGTACAGGTAAGTACAGGTAAGTACAGGTAAGTACAGGTAAGTACAGGTAAGTACAGGTAAGTACAGGTAAGTATAATTGGTGGTGCACAGTAAGTACAGGTAAGTACAGGTAAGTACAGGTTAGTACAGGTAAGTACAGGTAAGTACAGGTAAGTACAGGTAAGTACAGGTAAGTACAGGCAAGTATAATTGGTGGTGCACAGTTAGTACAGGTAAGTACAGGTAAGTACAGGTAAGTACAGGTTAGTACAGGTAAGTACAGGTAATTTCCTATTTTTAATCTTACCTCACACGTGTTAGTCGTGCACTCCATAACTGGTTGGATAGAGAAGGTGGCCATACAGGAGCCCGGGTTGCTGAGAGGTACTCCATGTCCACTACCAGAGGAGGAGTCAAAGTAGAGGAAACTGAATCCCCGCATAATCTCCGTCATTCCTGAGACGCAATAATCAGGCATGTGCTTAAGTTAAGTTTAAGGGCTTTTGGTTGTCACTTTAGCTTCAAAGATTTTATTTTAAACCTAGCGCTGCTTTCACTATTCATGTCAATTGTCAACAGAGAATTTAAGGTCCGGTAAGGTAACTACTAAGTACAAGTAAGTACAGGTAACATACCACTTGGACACGCCTGAAACGAGTTAGTCTGGGAGTGGAAGGCGTAAGTCTGTATTTGAGCGTATTGGGTGTTTAAAACGCTACCCTTGCCTCCAGCTTCTCCTGCTTCTCCTGGTTCTCCTGCAAGCTGTTCTGGTGTAGACTCCACTTCGCCTGACATGGTGAGAAATATCGGTAAAATATTGGTGAAATCTTGATGAAATAGTGAAATCCACTTTGAAATCCACTTTACAATAAAACAGGATGTCTGCTGACATTTGTGTACATGTTGACTGTTCCAGACTGACCTGGCAGACCACTGTCACCACACTTTCCCTCGTCACCAGGTGTGCCAGTGTAACCAGTCTTACCCTTGTCTCCCTGATCACCTCGGGAGCCTATAAACCCCTGGTTGTATAGTGTTAGCTCTGGGCATTTTAATCATTTTGCGAATTAATTTGTAAACTCATTTCCGTTATCCAGATGTGTGTTTCTTTGACCAAAATGTTAAGTAGCAACTAGCAAAGTAACAAACAACAAAGACCAAAATAGAAAATATGTAGCATGCAAGTAACAAATAACAAAACTCTTACAGGGGGACCAGCAGGAGCATTACTAGGAGTGAATCCCTCCAACCCCGGCTGCCCCTTGTTACCATCAGCTCCTCGTGCTCCAGCTTTACCGTCTGCACCAGATAACCCAGGGTCACCAGGGTACCCTTTCCTGCCAGGGCTGCTATCTCGACCAGGTAGTCCACCATACCCTGGAGATCCGTCAGCTCCGGTGTCTCCAGCTAGACCAAGGGAGCCTCTGTTACCGGGGGAACCCAGTCTTCCCTGGGTAAAGTGAGAAGGTGATTTTGTCATACTACTATTAGTATTAAACAAACATTGTACTTTTCTTGCTGTAACCATGTTAACATAATATGTTTAAAGTAAAAAAGTTCAAGATTGTTAGAAGTCTAAATTATATGCCCACGCTTACTGGGTAGCCTTTTCGACCAGAAAGTCCGACATCCCCAGTAGTATTCATAATGGTACTTATAACTCACCTAAAAATGAGGCACCTGTAACTGTGTGTAATTACGTAATTTAACCCTAATTTGTGGTAATTTTTGCTAACCCTAGTTGCTAATTGTATACACTAACCCTAATTGAGAGTGTTTATTCCTCATTAACATTTTGCTAATTTGGGGATACCATACTATTACACTGAGGCTAACCCTAGATAACAATTATATAGTGTACACTTTAACTTGAACACTGCGTATGTTGCATGAGAAACTATATACAATAGTTATTGTCAGAAACTTTTAGCCACACCTGTTCATACTATATAGAGGAGCAAGTACTGGAGCAGCATTGTGCACATCTAATTACAACCCTTATATGTCTATTAATGAAAAAGTCATTATTTGTAACACGGGAGTACCACGTGAGTTCTATGCTGTTCTTTGGAGCTATCTTGTGACAAACATGTGGGCCATTAGACACTCTACAAGGATTTATTGTCATATTTCATGAGAGTTTGAAGCAAGGAAAGAGTTATTTTAGAGTATTTAAGCTTTAGATATTTTAAATGAGTAATTGCAAACTTTATTTTAAATGCTGCGTCTAGTCGTGGAATTATCAATGAGAGCTCAGTGAGACCTGGATTCTTAGTGAAGCCAGGTGTCACGCCTTTTGGGTGTAGCAGTTATTCTCTTCCGAACACTCTGCTGCACATTGTGCACTATGTTCATTATACAACGTACATTTGCACAGCTCTCCAAATTTGTACACAGCATTTAAATTAATGTTCTTCTGTTCAAGTTACAATTGTCTAGTTCTTGAAAGTTTTATGTTGATTAGTTGTTGTCTTGCCTTGCTCATTGACCATTTTGTTGTGTAGTTAGTTGCCAATTTTCTTTCCAGTTGTGTTCTTTTGTTCAAGTTGCAATTGTGTAGTTCATTTTCTTGAATTTTTTTTTGTTGCTTGTTGTTGATTAGTTGTTGTCTTGCTTAGCTCATTGATCAATTCTTTTTTTTTGTGTAGTTAGTTGCCAATTTTCTTTTCCAGTTGTGTTCTTTTGTTCAAATTGCAATTGTGTAGTTCATTTTCTTGAAAGTTTTTTACTTTTTGTTGATTAGTAGTTGTTTCGTCTTTATTTTCAGATTTTGTGTAGTTACTTGCTAACTCTCTTTTCAGTAGTGTGTTGCACATATTTTATCTTTGTCTTGTTTTCACTGTGTGCTAAAGTCTATGTAGTTACGACACCATTTCTTTATTCTTGTTCGCAATTGTTTTTTTTTCTTCTGTGCTACCGTTTACCAGGTCTTTATTAGCATTGTTGTTTATAGCATAATATACTGAATCCTCCTTCTTTTAAAGTTGTAATAGGAATTGATACAAAGTAAACTGCTCACTTGTCATGTTTTCCTATTTATGTTTTGAATAACTATTAATATCACACGGTAGGGAATGACTATGATGGATCGATCGATATAAATCTTGTCAGTGTTGACGAAATATTAATAACGAATCGTCTGAGAACAATAATCAGAAATTCATCCTATAAAAGTGAAACCAGGTTGATATTTAATAACATAGTAACATAATCGGTAGGTCTATCAGGTAAAAGAGTCAATCCCATTACTGAAGACACTTTTGAATCTTCTTTTCTTTTTAAATTACTTTTAAATTTTACTTTACTCAACTGAATTACTTAACCTAAAAAATGTTGCTTAGAAACCAACCACCAGAAAGTTTAAAAAAAATAAAAGTAAAGAGGGGGAAAAGACACGTCGATCCGGTAAAGCAGATTAGCTGTTTTTGATTACCAGGTGAGAATGTCTATGACTCTATAAAAGCTTTACAAACTTATCATTTTGTAAACATTTGTGGTAACTAAACCTTGTCGCTAAAATAATATATTTGTGTACACCCCCAGATTGACCTGTTTGTAAAAAGAAACCATGAAAAGACAAGCTGGGACGTCTCATCATAGTAATGATAAGCACAGGATCCTGGAATGTCCAACTTGTTACAAGTGTTTTCGTTCCGATAACCTTGGCAGACATTTAAAGAGCCACAATTTATCTAAAAAATGCAGATTCTGTAAGAAAATGATTCGTACAGATGCTATGCTGAGACATGAGACATTGTGTAAAGATCAAGTAGACGAGACTCTTTGCAATCGTCGGGACTGCTCTTGGCTGGAAACTCACCTAAAGTGTAGCTCAGTTTCTGGCTGTTTTAAAATCTTTGAACTTAATGTACAACACAGCCTTGATTATGATAAAATAATTTCCAATGTCATAAAATCTGCTGAGCCTTTCTGTAGGGATCTATTAAGTATTCACCCAATCAAGGCTCAGATAGTTCTTGATCTTGAATTCTTTCACGATTCCTACGAAGGAAGAGAGTACGCCAGCAAGATTTTTAGGTCTATTGTGGAACCTCTGCTATTTGGTGACAACCTTGAAAAGTTCTTGGACAGGGCTCAGACCTACCTGAAAGCACAAATTGAGTTGTACGAACGCCTTGGCTCTGGTTGGCAGTTCAGCAAATTTAAGAATACCTGGATTGAGGTCAGCAAATACCGACCTTTATCTGGAGCTGGAGCTGTCGACATTCCAAAGCTTGTCAAGAACATGAAGTCCGTTCTCAACATCACTTCCAAAGATAATAAGTGCTTCCTCTACTGTCTACTGGCTAAACTCCATCCAGCAAAATGTAATTCAGGGCGATACACTAAATACTTGAAGTATTTAGATGCAATCAAGTTGGGAGATCTAACTTTTCCAATGAAGATATCCGATATTGGTAAAGTTGAGACCCTCAACGATCTATCAATTTCAGTCTTTGAATGGACCAAGGATGATGATTGTGTAATTCCTTTACACCATGGCTCCGGAGTAGGAAGACAGATTGATCTTCTTTACATAAGAGATGAGTTTACTGGTCACTATCTGCTGATAAAGAAATTCGACGCCTTTATGCGTCACCGTAGCAAACACCATAACTCTATGCACTTTTGCCGACGATGTCTGCATGGGTTTACAACCGCTAATGGACTGTCTAATCACTCTGAATTATGTCATCAGGGTATTAATCAAATAACAAAGATTCCTGAGCCTGGAACAGTGACTGAGTTTACAGCCACATACAAGATGGACAAGAAGTTATTTGCAGTCTACTTTGACTTTGAATGTCTAACGGTACCAGTAGAGGAAGCTGAAGATAAACATGGGAAGACTACAAAATATCAGCAGCACGTACCTTGCAGTTTCTGTATTGTCACTAAATCAGAGTTTGCTGATTATGAGGCAGAGACTATCGTGTACAGTGATAGCGACCCTAGTAAGCTGATTGAGAAATTTCTGGAGGAACTTGACAGGGTATATGAAGAAATGATGGATTGCTACGAAACCCATCAGTATCCTATACACATGACAGCCAAAGATGAGGATGCATTTATTTCATCTACTCAATGTTACATGTGTAAGAAGGAGCTAGACTGGGAATCCGAGAAGAATTACCCTGTCAGAGACCACGACCACGGTAAAAAGACAAATAATTTTCGAGGAGCTGCCTGTAACTACTGCAATATCAACTTCTTTAACAGAACTAAGAAAATTCCTGCATTCTGTCATAATTTAAAATCATATGACATGAACCTGTTTCTATTGGATTTAATCAAGTCGTCTGAAAGAATTAATGTCATCCCTGAAAATTTAGAAAAGTTTAAGGCTATTTTCACGGAACAGTTTACTTTCTTGGACAGCTTTTCATATTTGTCATCTTCTCTTGAAAGGCTGGCAGATGATCTTAAGACGTCAGACATAAACGCGTTCAAGCGACTTAAAGCTGAGTTTCCTACTGGTTACAAGTCCTTGACAAACAAGGGTGTCTACTTCTACGATTATGCCTCTTCATTCTCAGTTCTCAGTCAGACTGAATTACCTCCCAAGGACGCTTTTTACAACAAGCTGAAAGATGAGGGAATCTCAGACAGAGATTACGAAAGAGCAAAATTAGTCTATGCCGAGTTTAACTGTAAGAACTTGCAGGACTACATGGAAGTTTACGTGAAGACAGATGCAATTTTACTCTGCGATATCTTTGAACACTTCCGAGAACTTTGTCTTAGTTATTACGAGCTTGATCCATGCCACTACGTGAGCCTTCCTGGATTCACTTGGGATGCCATGCTTAAAATGACTCAAGTCAAGATAGAACTCATTTCAGATATTGACATGTACACTTTTGTTGAGCAAAACATTCGTGGTGGAGTGTGTACCATCAATCACAGACACTTTGTTGCAAATAATCAGTATCTAGATGACTTCAACCCGAATGAAAAGTCATCATTTATACACTATGTGGATGCAAACAATCTATACGGGGCATCGATGTCACATCCTTTGCCGATAGGAAATTTCAGGTGGTGTGAAGATATTGAGAACTTAAACATCATGGAATTAGATCCTGATGGTGACACATGCTACATATTAGAAGTTGATCTAAATTATCCTGAAAACCTACACATCAGTCATTCCGACTATCCACTGGCAGTTGAGAGAAAAGTGGTCCTAGAAAGTCAGCTGTCGGATTTTAATAGAAGCTTCTTGGAAAAAATGAATAAAAAGTTTCTACCTACCACTAAACTCTGTCCAGATTTGACTAACAAGGTCCAGTATGTCCTATCACTGAGGAATTTACAGCTCTGTATTAGCGAAGGACTTGTGTTAGAAAAAATTCACAAAGTTTTGATGGCGGATCAAAAGTGTTTCTTGAAGTCATACATTGAGTTTAATTCAAAGAAGCGCTTGGAATCCAAATCTAAGTTCTCTTCAGATTTCTTTAAACTCTGTAACAACGCAATTTATGGAAAGTTCATCGAGGACATAAGAAAAAGGACTAACGTGTCTTTAGTAAAAGGTGAGCGAAAAGCTCAAAAGATCATTGCTAAACCACAGTACCAGGGATTCCGAGTTTTGGACTCGGAAGTCACCATGGTCCAGACATTAAAGAAAGTTGTTCATCTAAACAAACCAATTGCCTGTGGGTTTATTGTCCTGGAGAACGCCAAGTGTATCATGGGAGAATTCTGGTACAAAGTCCTCAAACCTCGCTATGGTGATAACTTGAAGCTCCTTTTAAGTGATACTGATAGTTTTATCTACAGCATCTATAGTGTTGATGGCTATCAAGACCTTTACAATATGCGTGAACACATGGACTTGGCCTCTTATAGGGAAGGAACTCCCCTGGAAAAGTTTCTGGATACTATCAATAAGAAAGTGCCAGGAAAGTTTTCAGACGAAAAACCAAATGAGATCCTTAAGGAGGTGGTGGCCCTAAAACCAAAAATGTATTAGTAAAACAAAGTATTTTTTAGTAAAACAAAGTATTTTATTTGTTAGCAGTGCAATCAATTCATATGATATAATTATAAGAATATAATAGTATGTCACACCTATTTAACTGTTACGTTCGAGTAGTCGTGCCATGGCTAAATTTAACTAGGACCAGTGGTGTCGATTAACATTTTAAAAGGTGATTCTAAGTGACACAAATGGAAAATTTTAAGAAAAGACGGATCAAAACACAGATCCAAGGACAAGGAGACCCCACTGCAGGACCATACATGCTATTGGCTTGTGCATGGCCCAAAAGGTTCCAGCTGTCCAGGAAACTGTACGTAGCTGGTCAACTAGTTTTGAATTCAGACTAGGCTTGATGAGTTCTGGGGTTTCTAGAGTAAGATTTGATGGTGCCAGGTTTGTTCAGGCGGACATGAAAATTATGCGAGGAATATATAGGTATATAAAAATCATATCAATATAAAAATAGATCCAAAAATAGATCCAAAGATTCACACGGCAGTCAGGGAACTTCCAGACAGGATGCTTTTGAAACAGGTATAATTAGCGCTTTTGTAATTAGTTGTATGCAAGGGATGGGATGCTGATTGACTAAGCTGGTTCAATGCCCCAGCTATTTAGGGGGAGCCACTCAATTTCACGCCCAGGTGTTGTCAATTGCTGGGTTTCAAGTAAGAGCTTTTTGATACGGCTCTTGATAATTGAGATGGGGGAGGAAAGGTCGGAAAATTTACTAGAGCCAGGTGTTAATGATGATATTATATAATTAAGTACATCATTATTCATTAAATACCAAACTAACATAATCTAATCCATTCTAGGAAAATGATGTGATCTTGGAGGCTATTCGTCTACCCGACGTTGGTGGTTGCTCTACGGTGTACCAGTGCTGCTAGCTACGCCAGTTGCGGTTGTATGTTGGTGGACTTAAGTGTTAGGAGTTGTGTTCTTCGGTGTGACAAGTGTGTTCTATCGGTGAGAAGATAGATTACAGTTGCAGTGTACGGTCGGTGTGACCAGTGTGTGTACTATCGGTGAAAAGATAGATTACAGTGTACGGTCGGTGTGACCAGTGTGGACTATCGGTGAATATAAGTCAATTGGATTGTACTTAAGATAGATTCCAGTACGAAGAACTTCAGAGAAGAACTCCACAGATCTCAACAGAAGACAAGTGATAGTGTCGGTGTATTGTAGAGATCTCAACAGAAGACAAGTAATAGTGTCGGTGTATTGTAGTAGAGAAGTTACATTGATTGATAGTGTTTTGGGTACTTTATATAATTGAAGTGATTGAGTTATTATATATTGAATTACTATTTACCTTTGTTAGTCATTGCAGTGCGAGTGCGTAGTGGAGTGTGTTAGTTTGGAAAGCAATTGACTAGGAAAGATTCACTTAGTACAATATTGTGTATTATCTCATTATCAGTGTTCAAGTAGATAGTATTGTGTATTATCTAAATCTAATTATTCCAGTTTTATAATATCGTGTTTATCTTATTATCATTGGTAGCAGGTAGAGAAAAGATAAAGACATGGGAGGAGACCAACCACCTTTGTTGACAGAGGGGATGGATTACCTGAAGTGGAAACGTGAAGTCGGCATCTGGGAGTTGGGAACTTCAATAGCAGCTGCTAAGCAGGCAGCGGTGTGTGTCTTGAGGATCCAGGATTTCAAGGCAAGAGATTTTGCAACACGCTTAGATGTGACGGAGCTCAAGAAAACTGAAGGTTTGAAGTACTTGATGGCAGAGCTTGATAAGTATTTTAAAGAGGATAATACTCAGAGTATATTTCTAGGTATTGAGGATCTAGAAAAGTTTGTTAGACCAGAACAAATGAAAATGGCAGAATATATCGCGGAGTTCAAGAGACGATTGAACCGGATCGGAGAGTTGTTTAATGACACGAAAGATATTTATCATGATGGGATGTTGGCATACAGGTTGTTAACTCAGGCCAACCTGACCAAAGACCAACAGATATTGATAAAAGCTGCAATGGGGACTCAAGAGTTGACAAGTAAAGCAATTGAGGAATGTTTGAAGAGGTGTTTCGGTGACGCTGTTTTCTGTCGTAGATCCAGAATGGAGTTAGACACAGTAAAGATTAAGGTAGAACCTGGATCGGATGTGAATTACCATAGGGGTCAGTTTGATGAAAAGGATACTGACATCAGTGGTGATAACGGAGAATATGCATTCTATCAAGGATACAATAATCGAGGCCAAGGAGGAAGGAAATCGTTCTCTTCTGGCGGTTATAACAATTACTCCAATAGCAGATGGAAATCTGGAAATTACAGCAAACCATGGGAAAGAGACAAACAGCTCAATTCAAAAGAAAGGAATAACTCAGACTACAAAGATGAGTTAAATGCTATCAGTCACAAAACTGGCGATGTAGCAAGATGTTCAATTTGTGATTCGAATAAGCATTTCCGGGCAGATTGTCAACATAATCCCAATGTTAATGATGTTCGAAAGAAGGATTCGAGCTCAGTGTGTATGTATCAGACGTGCAGGAATGGTAAAGAATCAAACAAAATTGACAATGACTACTGTGAGACAGTTCTGTTAGTCAATGAGACATTCAACAAGGTGTTGATTGACACTGGGACAACCAGTAATGTGTGTGGTGATGTTTGGTTGAACACATTCTTAGAGTCAATGCCTGAAGAGTTGAAGAAAAAGATCAGCAAAGTCGAGAGAAACTTGAGTTTTCGTTTTGGAGACGGACGCGCGGTCGAATCTATCAAATGTGTCATGTTACCCGTCAAGTTGTGTAACAGAGATTTCATGTTAGAAACATTTGTGGTTCCAGGAGAATTACCATTTTTGTTCTCTAGATGTAGCATGAAGCAACTGGGAGTATCATTAGACATAGAGAATGATCAGATTATGATTGGCGGAGAACGGCAACAACTGAAAGTGACCAAATCAGGTCATTATGTGGCAGATATCATGTTATGGGAAAATATGAAATCAGAGAAATATACCATTGAACAAACTGGTAGGGAAGAGAGTGTAAGGAAAGAGGAGATTGTTGATAGTGATAGTGACAGTGAAGATGAATTCTGTCCGAATGAATCAGAGGAAGTAAGCAATGAACCATCAGCAGAAGGAGTGGAAGTTTCGAGTGGAACTGAAACTTCAGTGGAAGAATCTGGTAGTGTAGAGACCAGTAGTGAACAAGTGAAGTCAGAAAGTGTCGGTGATGAAAATAGAGACACAAGTGAGCCTGATGAATTTCAGAGTGCTTCTTCGTCGGATGAGAATCAAGACTGGGTAGATGTAGTAGTCAAGAGGAATAAGGTATTAGACTTTAAGAGTGAGGATGTCATTAGGTATAAGTCAGCAGATTATACCAACGATGTGTGGCAGAGAGCAAGTGTAATTGGACCTGAATGGAAAGAAAATTCTGTAAGCAAGGAAAACATCAACGTCTGGAACTTGGTGAAAGAACCAGAAGGTACAACAATTCAATTGCGTCTCAGTGAGTGTCAAGTGCAGAAAAAATCACATGATTCTCCAGACACAGAGTCTAGTATTGATACTGTGATGATACCAAAGGAGAGATATGGTGAGGTGTGATGTGTAATCAGTTGAAGTGGAAACAATATATTTGTGCTAAATTGAAGAATCAGAGAGAAGCACGGTTCTGATGAAAACAATATATTACTATTAATAGATATATACTATGTGTATTTTATACATATTAATTGAATATATATACACTTTTGTAGTGAGTGTATAAGATTTTCATTGTATACATTTCTAACACAAGAATATCTCAGATAGATGTATGATTGAAGAGAGACTATAAGAGGTAAGTATAATCAGGTAAGTGGATTAATACTTGTTTTAGAGTGTACTTTTCTGTAATGTCAGAGTTTTAGGAATAAATTATTATTTATGGGTAATTGTTCGATGTGAGTTTTTATCACGTCAGTTATCATTAACTTTTATTAACTTACTTTTGTGCCGTGGAATTTTATATCTTGTTCGATTTTCATTCTTTTTACCGTGGATTTTATATCTTGTACGAATTTCATTTTTTTGCCGTGTTAGAATTTTACAGAGTTAAGTATTTTTAATGATAGATTTCCGATATTTATAAAGGGAGAGTACTATGTGATAATGTTCACAGTTGTTTGTGTTTTTATGCATGTTTTGTCGAGATTTGACTTGAAGGTCATCTAGCGATAGGGGATTGTCTTTATTTTAACAACATTATAGCATGTTAAGTTTTTGTTAAGCATGCAATGAGGGTTTTTTTTTAAAACAGTTAAAGTAAAATGTTTTAATCATGTGGGTTTTAAAGAGTGTATTAGAATGTTGAAAGAGTTTTATTAGAGCTTTTGGCAGTGTTTTGAACGCTCGCGTGTGTAAGTTTATTGTCACAATGAGATTTTAGACGTAAAGGGTCTACTGAAAGTTCAGACGTAACGCGCGATAGGAAGTTTGCGGGAGTATTTTAATTAGTTACAATCTGTTTGATGATTTTTGTGCCGCGCGCACGAGTGTATTTAATTTGCTTGTTCGGATTTTCGGGTTTTAAGTTTCGTATTTAATTGGCTTGTTTGACGACGGCAGTTTACTTTTTTTAAAAAGTGGGGAAGATTGTTAATGATGATATTATATAATTAAGTACATCATTATTCATTAAATACCAAACTAACATAATCTAATCCATTCTAGGAAAATGATGTGATCTTGGAGGCTATTCGTCTACCCGACGTTGGTGGTTGCTCTACGGTGTACCAGTGCTGCTAGCTACGCCAGTTGCGGTTGTATGTTGGTGGACTTGTGTTAGGAGTTGTGTTCTTCGGTGTGACAAGTGTGTTCTATCGGTGAGAAGATAGATTACAGTTGCAGTGTACGGTCGGTGTGACCAGTGTGTGTACTATCGGTGAAAAGATAGATTACAGTGTACGGTCGGTGTGACCAGTGTGGACTATCGGTGAATATAAGTCAATTGGATTGTACTTA